AAAATCTAGGCTAAGACGATTGGGCGCTACTAGTCCTGACCGGGGGGTGGGGGTGGGGGTGGGGTGGGGTTGGTTATAGTCACCACCCTGTACCTAGAACTGCAGATGGACCAGCACATTTGGGGTGTTTGTGAAGATTCTCCGTCCTCCAGGTGGGGTTCTCTGGAAGTTGAGTCGGCTTCGGTTGAAATGTTTCACTCCTCATCCAGTCTACTTGGGGGGTTGTTTCTCTGCTTCCACTACCCCTCATACAAGTGGAAAGCCCTAACTGAGGCAACAGGGGTGACCTGTTTTCTTTTTCAAGATATGTCCAGTCAGGTCGCAGGATCATCTGGAATGCTGCATGCAAGATGAAAGCATCCCAGACACAAGCATATTTGTTTGGAATGTATTCCCTTCCCCCCATTTTTTTAATTAATAATTATCACCTAACATTAGCCAGCAGCACACACACACACAAAAACTTCACAATAAGGGAAGATGCATCGGTGTAGGGTTTGGGGGAGGTGCTTTTTTCAAACAAACCTGCTTTGGGATCCTTTTTCTTCTGCTTCTGAAAACAACATCCTGTACTACAGGAGGGGCAGCAAACAGCAGCAACCTTGTAATCTGCCCCACTGCTAATACCGTGCAAAGACACACCAGAATCCTCTGTTTTACTGAATTGGCACAGAGGGGAATATACGTCAGAGAAATCAAGGGAATGCTGCATCTTCTCCAACTGACAAAGACAACCAGAGAAAAAGAAAACTAACACACAAGTCAAGGAACACACAGCAACTTCCACGACGAGTCCTTTGGGCTCGCCCAAGTGACCTCGGGCACAGGACAAGAATGCAGCAGAGTCCCACCGGGAGCAGGGGTGGCGGTGCTCTCCTCCTCCTCCTCTGCCCCTTTCTTCCGCATTCCTGCCTCTTCCCATCCCTGTCACATTTCATCCTCCAAGCCATAGGTTTCTTCTGGGAAATCTCCCACAGTGACATGCTGAGGCTTCACAAAGGCTCCGTACTTGGGTTGACACTCAAAGTACCGCTTTCCATTCACGCTGTCAAGGAAAGGAGACCAGACCAATAAGGCAGCTGAAGAACCTCATGTGAGTAAATGGACTATTAATTTTTGGGCAAAGGGGGCAACAATTGTGCATGGAATTGCACCATTCCCTTCTCTGCTTTACAGAAATGATGGAACCCTGATTGTTCTGCATACGTTATTCTGCCATTTTTCTTTGCCTGCATAGAAAGTGTTTTGTTTGCTATTACTGGATAGTGAGGAACCACTGGAGTCCTGAGGATTCTGCTTCCAGTACATAACAACATTGTTTAATTGATCTCTGCTTCTGACACCCAACAACTATCATTCAAGCTCACCTCCACAATAATATGGAATAGACACATGCCTTTTTGGCTTTGTTTAAATAAAAAACAAAGTCTTCAGCAAACTGAGTTAGCACTAGTGTGGAACTGCAGCAGACGCCCAGAGCTCTGGACAGGTTGATGGGCCTTGTGTCTCTGGACAGAGAGGCTATCATTGAACATTCGGCTCTGTCTATTGCATATTGAATAACTAGCAGTAAACCTGCCAAAGAAGATTTGAAGAAAACCATTTCTGGTGCACTTTCATCTTTATCTAGTGGGACAGAATCTATGAATGCAGCTAGACTGAAGTTTAATGAGCTATGTATATTTCTATACATAGATTGTAAACTGGAGTTAGACATAGGCCTAAGCCTCTAAAGATTATAGGGTCAGAGTTAAGATGGCACTGCTTTAATATGCCAAATAGTGAAACATTCCAATGGCTATAACTGTGCAGGCCTCATGGTAGGCCAGTTGAGTAGACTGGGTGTGTGTGTAGTGGGGGAAGCTGGTTCATGAGAGGGATTTACCTGCCATCGTGCTTCCCCAAAGGCTCGTCATACTTTATGCCGATCCAGTAACCAGGCTTGAATTCCGTCAAGCCTACAAAGAAGAGCGGGAAAGCCGTCTTGAACGTGGGCAGGTTCACTGCCCAATACTAAGCATGCTTATTTCGACACATATTCAATGGTCTTTATATTCTAGTACATGTCCTTCAGACTACAAACCTTACTGGTAAATGAAGCAGCAGTTTTTTTGCAATGAAAGAGAAAGGTTCATTTAAACCCTAAGCAGCACAATCAAATGTGTGATTGCATTCTGCTCAGTTCGTGCCTCAAGGCCACTCTGCAAAAGAGCAGTGCCAAATAAGAAGAGCGTAAAGTGCACTTTCCACTGATTTCTGAGTTCCCTGTTTAATACCCCCACTCATCATATAATTCACTAGGAACCTGAGACTCACCGACAAACATCACAGTCCCCCGTTTATCTGGCGGTCCTGAGGCCCGCACCTCGCACCTTGCCCCAACAGAGATGGCCTCTGCCAGGACCTTCTCTTCTGCCAACTTCTTCTCCAACTCTGCTTCCTTCTTCTGCATTTCTTCCTTATTATACTGCCCCAACTTACTGCGTTTCATGAAGGAACGTGCAGTATCTGTAAACAAGAGAAAAATGGGTTCTGGTCTCAATAAACACATTACATTACATCTTTCTGCCCCATCAGTCATACTGGTTTAATATTTGGAAATGATTTTGCAGAAGTAACTAAACTGAAGTATTTCACTTACACAATACCCACTCACACATGTTTTGCAAATACAATTTTTATAAATCCAGACTGGCTTGATCTCCTACCTCAACAGTTGCTCGGAGATACTATTGTTATGTTTTTGAGATTTACTACAAGGACTAGAAACTTAACAAAATCTGGAATATATGTATCACTTCATAATGCCTTGAGTGAAAAAAAGGATGGGCCATTTAAAAGTGAGAAGCCTGCACCCCAACACAACTTACATGTACATATGTGATGGCAGTGGAACCGTGTTTCTTGCAGAAGAAGGGTGGGCAAAATGCTGTCTGTGGAATGGAGTTCTCAAGGCTCCCTACAGCCTCAGGATAAATCATACTTCCACAACTCCCTCAAAAATTTTTAAAAATTAATGTATACTCGAAAAATCCTTTTCTAGAGGATTGGGGGGGGCAATGTCACAAAGTTTTTGACACACACACCCCTGAGCTGGTTTAGGTCTGAGGTGAGAGGTTCCAATGCTATGTGATTTCCAATTATTTCTGGTTTTGAGAAAGGCTTCTCCTGGTCATAAAACAGCAATACGATTGCAATTGATCCTGCATTATCCAGACATGAACCAACACATTTTTCAGGCTAGCAATTCTACATTTTGGAATTTTACTTTAACTACAGATTCTCCAGCTTCAGGATCTTGCCAGAGTAATTTTTTGACTTTTCTATTTTACTGCACTACTGCCCCAAAGCTTTAAAATTTCTATCATCATGAGACGTTCTCAAGGACTTGAAGGATCATCTTTTTTTATATATGTTAGGGGTACAATAGATTTATTACTCAACATAGATTTCACCCATGGATTACACCCACCATTACCCAGGGATCTCAAAGGGACCACAGAATTCTATATCTTCTTTTTCCTCAGTGTTCACTCTGGGTAAGAGAAAAATGCAGACGTTTTATGGCCATGTTAATTGTCCCAAAGTTTCCCTCCTTTTGTTATCGGTGAGCAATTTTCTTGTGAGAGGAACATAAACTACACAGTTCCTGAACTGAGAAAGATTTTCACTATTCCAGGAGGGTTTCTGAGGAAACTCCTCCTGTGTTTGGATCCTATGGAACCAGTTTTGGCTGGCATACATTCTTATGCTGGCTTGGGACCACTACGTAGTCACAGGCTGGAGGCTGATGTCCCTCCCCAAAGGTTAGGCCTTCTGACAGGCACGTCCAGAAATCAGAGGCTGCTCAGAAGGCCCTTGCAGGGACCACAAAACTGCACCCCAAGATACAATTTCTGGGATAAGGCACTAATTGCCCTTCAAGGGCATGCTCATGGCACTATTGCCATCTGTTCTCACTTGTTCTCTTGTCATATTCATCATCAGGCATCTCAAATTTCTCAACCCTTGACGCATCTTCATATTCACCAATTGTTGCGCCGCTTCTGTCAATAACCTGCAGGGGTCGAAAAATGAGTCACATTACTGGTGATTAAATTTCAAATGCAGAAGCAAGGTAGAGGTCAGCTTAAGTTTTGAGGGAAGTGTGTCATTTGTGAAGTGTGTCATGCGTTATATCCCATAGCTGGACTCATTTGCAATGTATACAATTGTTTTGTTTTGCTTTGTTTTCTTTTCTTTTAAGTATTTACCCCCACACACAAACATTAGATGTTAACCTATTTACTACTAAGAGTAAAATCTGCTATTGAAGGCACATTAACATAGTGAGGTCACATAAAGTGACATTAGTTGATACAACATACTCCCAATGTACAAGACAGTTCATAACACAACATGAAGCAAAGTTCTCCCGTGCTTAGGGTCTAGATTTCCACAGCAAGCAAGGCTCTCCTCCACCCAGGAACAATTTGACACTCATATTCTACTGCAGTGAAGCCATGAGTGAAATGATAATGCCTTCCTCACTTGACCTAACGCCTATTTCTCTTTAATGTCTATTTTAAGACCGGAAGACCTCTCTGAGGCAGGGATCTGTCCTCTCCTTCTTTGTATTTAATGCTATACAAAGTAGAGACAGCTGTGACAATCACAGCTCAGACTTTGCAGAATATTAAGGAGCATGGGCTTTTAGAACCTTTTTTCAAAATTTAACATGCACCTAAAAGGCATTCTCTGCTGAGCTTGGAAGTATTTATGTAGAAAGCTCAAGGAATGCCTGCAGCATTTCTTCTGGGAACTTGAGAGGCTCTACATATGAGTTTCAGGCAACTCTTTTCAAACCTTTTCCTGGCCAATAGCAGGAGTTCAATACTCACATGGATCCGGCATCCATCATCAATGGGATAAGATCCGAGCAAGGCATCATCACTGTCTAACTTCATCACAAACTGGTCATCCACAGTATAGAGTTCTAGGTCCATGCATGATGCTGGGCTTCCAACAACCAGTTCTAGCTTACACTGTTTGAGAGACAAAGACCAGAATGAGCTTAAGATTGACACCAGCTTAAGTTTAAAGGTGGCAGAAATGGTCACTTAATAGGTGCTTGCACTCCTGCTCACATGCCAGTCACATAACTGGGCAGGCAAGGAGGAATGTGAGCAGCAACCTGTTAATAACAATTTGCAGCTGTGATTTAAACAGTTACACTTAGGACAATGTGAAATCTCAAACAGGATTCTGGCAACAGACAACCATAAGGGAAGGAATGTCCTCAATGAAAAGTAAGGATATCCAAATGTATTCCCATTCCCACCCTAATTAACCATGGCAATAAATTAACAGCAATCTACACTGGTCATGTCTGAGTGCTGATGAGATATCATCTCAACACTCAATGTCATAACTGTAGTTAAATTGCTGTAAACTGCGCAGTTAGTTAGTTAGTTAGTTAGTTAAATAAATAAATAAATGAAAGCTAGCTCATAAATTAAAAATAAACAAGACACAAATCACTTGGGTCTAATCTGGCCATGGAAGACAGGCTTCCTGGCTGCGTCTTAAAGTGCAGAAGTTCCTGTGATGACAGAACCAGGAAGCAGCAAACCCTGGGAAGAAGATCAGGCCTTCCCCTCTTTCCCCTTCACTTGTCCTATAAAACAGGACTCTCTCTTATTTTTGAATTCCTGGCTGCTGACCAGAACACCATCAGATCTCTTGTGTGAAGCGGGAAGTGCAACTTGTAGTATATGATGTTTGACAGGGCTGAAGTTGTAAGGCTAGCAAAGGTGGAATTGAAAACGGTGTGTGAGCTCAGTCTCTCTGTGGACCAGTTCCATTGTTAAGATTTCACAGTAAGAAGAAAAAACGAGGGGGGCAAAGACTGCATTTGGCCCAAGCCCACGGCATTGGGGGGGGGCAGGGGCACAGAGCAGGAGAGCAGGTTGATCAGCTTGTCCAGATGGGTACTTATCTGCCAGCTGCCACACTGCAGCTAATCCCAGTATAAAAGCACAACATACAAAAGGATTTGCTGTGGACAGAGGCCTGTTTGCTGGAACTAACAGCTCAGAATGGGGGCCCCTCCTTTTCTAAGTGCAAGCAGGAAATGACACATTGCAAAATGGCCAAAAAAGGTCAGAGAAGTCCTCCATTTCCACTCACTCACGGCAAAGCTACAAATGCAGAGAAGCAAGTTCAACATCAGTGAGAGACAGATGGTGGAAAACAGAGGCCTTGCAAGGGAAATCACAGTGCATCAATGCCATCGTGGAGGAACGGTGTGTATGTGTGTCAGAGAAAACAGAGACACTGTCCACATGATCAGGAACTTGTCACACAGTTCAGAAAACTTGCTGTCTACCACAGCAGGGGGATTTTTCTGCAAGGGGCTCCATTTTTTAGCACCAGCGGTCTGGAAATCTGCCAGCATGAGGGTGTGTTCTCTCAGCTAGCAGAACATCAGGAAGACAGCTGTGTTCTTTAAGGACACGACAGTCCTAAGCTGAAGGAAACACATCTGCTGCAGTCTAACTGCCACTTCCAGCTCTAACAAAGTGGTGGTGTTGCTGCAGCCAACAAGAACCCAAAAATGGATTTCCTGACAGCAGGCCATCAGCAGCAGCAGGGCTAGCAGGAGCACCGAGGGTACCACTCCAGATGACAGAGTGGCCTGTCTAACAAGGACTGTCGGTGCCTGGTGTCTTCTGGAGGCAAGAGGGACTTGAGATATGATCACCCACCCTTCAGCGTTGGTGGATCTCTCTTTACAGCTCTGTTAGTTCAGTACCACCTCTTCTTCCCTAAAGTGAACCTGTCCTGTGGCTGCAGCCACAACACCGTGAGATACACTCACCCTCCGCTTACAGTTAGACAGGTGGTGTCTACTTAAAAGTCCGGAAGGACTCCCACTAGGGCTGTAAAAGGCAGTAAGCAAGTTGCTGGGTACCAACCAGGAGGAACCTGCCAGGTCGGAAAGTGACCAGGAAACCAGACAGAAGGCGAGGGAGGGAAGGGCCACTGAGTGCTTGCTCCCTTGCCCCCCCCAAAAAAAACCCACCTTTGCTCACCTGCTTGAGGGGAGGGGAATTCTGCCTGGCCTGTCTGGTGGGCCCAATCCCTCCTCTTTACTGGGCTGGGCTAAAGGGAAGAGACCTTTGGGGGCGGGACGAGGGGGGGGGGAGATCTGGGGTTGGAGAGGAGAGCCTTTGCGGAAGCCCAAGAGGAGTCGATGGAGCCCCATCGCCC